TTTTGTACTCTCTGGAGACGTTTCATTAAATAATCTGGGAGTGAGTGGTATACTATGTCATTATAATATAGCTTGCTTAGAACCAGTGCCTGTGCCAACTTCATGAGGATACTTAGCCGAAGGGCGTGAGGGTAAGGCGAGTCCATTTTTGAAAGTTAGTGTGAGAAATTTTTGACGAAAAGCAGAATTATTCATTTTAAAAAGATTGTCTTTATGTTGAAAACTGGAGACAACAAAAGCAGAAAGTTTTTCCTTGCACGTTCGGTCGCATCGACTATTCTGCTTCTCTCTTCAAAAAATCAAAAACGTAAATAGGAAAAAGTAGATACTTAGATGCTATATGTCTCAACAAAACAGGTAGGAGAGAGCTTCACCTGATTTATAACAAGTCTGTTGTTCATTTTAAAAGGAATAAATTATGTTGTGATCTTCTCATCTCAGTAATGTTAACTAAAGCAAGTGGAATGGGGCAGCAAAATTGCAAGTGGATCGGACGTTTAGGAGCGGAGGAGGGAGGAGAGTCGAGGCGGCCAAGGGGAGAGGGGGTCCGTCGTAAACAAGCGGAGAACAAATGAACATGTCAACGGCCTGGGGGGCGGTACTCCCAGAAAAATTGGGTGGGGGTGTGCGGCCCGCTTCCCAAAACCCTTACCCTATTTATGACCAAAATCTGCGATATTCCCTGCCCTATTAATGACTTGACCAAAAATTCGAAACCCTATTTATGACCTGACTCTTAAATTAAAACCCTGTTTCAGACCTGCGTTATAATTAGTTGCCTAGTACAGACCAATGTCAAATTACCTTAAATATAATTCGTGAAGGGCTTTTGTTGATTTTCCTTTCGATAATGATGAAAAAGTGGCTTCTTCTTAAAAACATACCCATATCAAGGCTAGAGTGCAAAAACCATACCCTATTTATGACCAAAATGGCCAAAATCAGCTTAAATTGATAACCTATTTATGACCAAAACAGCTGAAAAACCATACCCTTTGGGGCCGCACATACCTATATAGCCCATATAAGGGAGTACCCCCCCCCCCCCCGCCGGGGTCGACGGCCCCTGACAATTACAGGTTTCAAGGGCAAACGGATTTTCCACTGTTGTTTCATCCGTCAGCGTTTGTGAGAAACTTCAATGACAGTCACGTTTCTCACGGCATTTTGTATACTGGATAATCAACGTGGAAGCGACCTTCTCATTAAAATAACAATTTATATTACGTTTTCAAAATTCATGCTCTTATATTTCTCTGTTCATGATGCAGTGAGTACTAGAGTTGTCGGCTACGTTTTGAAGAGGGCAGGCTTTTAGACAGAAATAGGTCCTTTACACAGTTATACATCACACAGATAATTACTATCGTAAGTTGTAATACACCGAAAGGTACTATCAGTTGTCTAAGTCGCTGTCCGTAATTTTTGCAGTTGTCAACAAAAAGGACTCACCGGTGATGGCAAGACCGCGAAACTTTCCAAACGGCAAGCACTCAAGCGCTCCAAAATCTCGATGTTTTCGTGCCACTGTCATGCAATAAATTTTAACAGAGATCAACACAACAATTTCTCTAGGCGAAGTTCACAAAAGCAATGTTTTTCGAGGCAGAAGTACACTATGCAAAATTGCGTGAATAAACTCATTCGTTTGCTGCATTGTTTACATACATAATAAGCTTTTCACGCTCACACTTGACAGATTCGATGACAGATCTCCGGTTGTCATGAAAGCGAGTCGAACATGCAAGTCAAAATAAATTAATACACGATTTTTACAAAGAACCTACTATTACGTTTTTGTTGTAAATCGGGCTTGCAAAACGTCAACCTCTTTGTTCTTCAGCGAGTAAATAATTTCTTCTTCTCCTCGCCAGAGTCCTTACACAAAAGGTATTGACCAAAATTTAAATTCTCCAAAGGAAATTAAAGAACATATATCTAAAGAGCTAAGGGGAACTTCTATGTTGATATTGAGTCTATAATAAGTGAAATGATTAGGGTGCAACATAGAGAACCGGCTGTACAGGTCGCGCTTTCCCATGGTTTGAATATCTATGTAAAACTTGAATTAACATACCAAGACAACCTTTAAACTTTTGTTAAGGTGTGAATGGTCAAAGTCTACTCCAAAGGCCAAGGCATATTGGTCAACGTTATCCCTAATCGGATCGCGAAAAGTACTTTAAAATTCACATATACATACGTTTTGATTTCAGCGGCAAAGATTCTCATTTTAAAGGGACCCAGTTAATGTCCTCAACATAGAATTTCTGCAAAATTACCGCGAGAAACGGCTTTCACTAAGATCCGTCTGCTAAGGTTTGCGTCAAAGTAAAATGGGGCACTTGACATTTTCGATTAACTAATCTAAATTATTTTTCGCAAAAATATCACACAGGGTATAAGGCATTTCTTTACCAGCAAAATGGGAGCGTTTTTGTCAATTGGAAGTTTTTTCCTTCATGTTTGGCGGACAAGTTCAGTGACTGTTCCACGAGAGCGAACTGAAAACGTAGAGCTTTAACAAGACCTCGCGAAATTTTATCGCATCTCATTTGTCAGGTAAAACAGTATAAACTTTCGTGATCATTTATATTAACCTGTTCTGTCCAAATTGGGGTATATTAGCCTCCTTGTTTGCAAGTGTATAAACCTTGCCTTCAGCTCGATCGTGGCCTAGTAAAAAAAAAAAAAAAAATTAATTGATATTTCCCCAATACAAACCTCACGCCAGTTCAATCACATCAGTGTCGCATTCCCCTTATGAGTTCAGAACAAATTTATGCCGACTGGTCAACTTGAATATTTTACGGCCATGACTACGGGCACAATTCGTCCTCGATAAACTAAAGCGAACAAGCAGCATTTAGTAATTACGATTACTTATAAAAAGGTTGAAGTTTTTTATAATAGCAAACAACACAGTGGCCGAAGGCCAGCTGAAGAAACGACCGATATTCATCTCTGAAAAATAGGGCAAAGTGGTTCTTTCTCACTGTCGTTACGTTACTGCAACTGATTTCAGTTTTGCCTTTTTTTTAATTTCATTTAGCCGTGCGCCGGTTTATTTGAGAAATTTTTGAGAGTAAGTCATTCCATTTGAGTGTTGTTCGTTTGTCGACGTTTTGGTTTTATTGACTTTACAGCTTATATTTGTGTACTTATACTATCTGTTCGGTTCGAATAATTACAGAAACTCATAACGTTTATACCTAAAAACAAGCATGCACTACGCATCAAAAAGTCGGATTTGAAATTCGCTACGTTGAATGACAAAAAAAGATTGCGGTCGGCTTTGGCAAATATTCTTACCTTCCTTATACACTGTACTGCGAGGGTGGTCTTACTTTATTCTGCCGAATCTATTCCCCAGGAGTAAACTGGATTCCATCCGCGCTTTGTGACTTCAAAGATTGTGTCTCTTTTCGTAATGAGTTCTATAAACGTTTGGGTTTGTTTAGAGGCGGCGAGGGGAGGTCTTTGCTTCCTGTTTCTGTTGCTAGTTGTAGCTAGAGAGCTTGGGAGCGAGACAAAACAAAAATGGAGGTTTAGCAGGGAAATGCAGGGGAACCAACAGTGATGTTAGAGAAACCTCGTTCTCCGTTGCATGTAACGAACTTTGATTTTAAGAATTACCTGTAGCACAAGTTAATCAGGTTTATGGATGGCCAGCGCACAGGTTTTGACGGTGCTTAAAGTTGTTGGCAGCGAACGGTAGCAAATAGATCATCCGTTGATTGGCCTTGATAGCTCGTTAATACTGAATCGATGGTGAAAACAGATTTTGTCCGTTCCTATCTCATCCTCCCTCTTAATTTATCGTCGTCAACTCAAACACGAACAGAGTACACAATTCGTGGTTTACTCCTTGCAAACAATAATTCAAAATTGCGGTTAAATGGGATAGCGCAATTAGGGTTTTTAAATCCGTTACTTGAGTCATGCAAAGGTTCTTTCCACTCGGCGTTGCGTTACGACCCAAAATGACGGCTGCAATTTTGTTCTCGCCAAGCATGACGGGATCAACTTCGCGCCACATGGACTCCGACAACAACATGCCCGGTGTCAACGGAGAAATCAAGAAAGAAGGCCTTGAAACTGCCGAAGAAAAGCGCGATCTTGGTTCAAAACCTAAAAAATTGGACGACAAAAGCTCAAAGACTCGAAGGACATCGGAACTTGCGGTATTAGATGCAGAAAGACAGTGTTTGGTGCAGCGACCGACCGATCAACAATGGCGTACGGGAAATTTTGATGAGCCATAATGTTTTGGTTTTCTCCGTGACTATCGTTGATTCTTCATTGATGTTTTCGCTTTTCTTAATAGATGCTGCTGAGATTATACACATTAGACCGGTGGAAGAAGGAAAAAAGGAATATTATGTTCATTATCACGGATGTAAGTTGTTTTCTTTCACTTTCCAGCCTTGCTAATTTCGAAGTTGAAGATTTTGATCGCATTTTCGCTCAAATCGTGCATGAAAATTCGCTGAACCAATGCTAACATAGTTCAAAAGTTAATTTTTAGTGAAGTAATGAAGTTGTCGGTCTGATATGGCTGTGTTGATGAACACGATGGAAAGGGGCCAAATTGGATTGTGCACAAAATGATATGCTACGAAATGACGTCACGAAATGGGACATACCATTGTTCATGCGCAGCATGTGTGGTTCATTTCGTGTGTAATGATGTCATGCATTTCAAAGAATTCTCTACCCAGGGATACTTGGGTATACAAATGGCAATTTTAAAATTTGTGTGGGGCTGTAAAGACTAATGTTCTTCGGACGTATTTGTTTTATTAGTTTCAGGGCTTTTAAAGAGAGATTTTGTGGTTGAAGTTTTATTTTGTTTAATTAAGAATTTCTTAGAACCAGCTTGATTTTGAGTTAATTTATTCATATTTCTAATATTTGTTATCTTAAGCCACAACGAGGTCAAATAAAAATCAAGCTCATTGTTAGGAACATTATCTTAATGTTCCACTCAATTTTCAGAACGGAAATTCCAGAGGGGTGGGGGTGGGGGTGGGGGTGGGGACTGCAAACCAAAAACTGTCTGTGTGGTGTACAAACGTGTTCTGAAACAACAAATATTTTTCAGAAATGCTATTGCAGTGAGTGAGGAGAACTGCTATTTTGAGCATGGAACAAACCTTGTCTAGAGTTTGTTTTGCTATCTTCTGGCCCTTTGATTGTGGTGGAAATGTGTCTCTAGTTAAATGACAAAGCTACTTCCGTAATAAAAGTCATAAAGGAGATTCCCTCTTTGATTTTAGTTAACAGGCGTTTGGATGAATGGGTGCCGATGGAAAGGGTTGATCTTCAACAGAAAGATGTTAGTATGCATGTTCCTGTTGTAGAGGAGAAAGTTGATGTTGATGGCCCAGAAAGGAAACTGACAAGGAATCAAAAACGTAAACATGATGAGATTAATCATGTTCAAAAGGTAACTTAATTGAATAAGCAGTAAGGTGAACTCTGATTGTCCTAAAATATGTCAGTATAACATAATTTATTGAAACTCAGTGTAACTGTGAAACTCATAAGATAGTGAACACCAGAAATATTCATGATTGCTATTGTGTAGCAAGGGAAAACCCAATAAAATGTGAGAAAACTAAACTTCAAACAGCAGCAGTAATTTGGTTTGTGGTTTTTACTGGCACAGTAAGCTTTGAATCATGTTGATGGATTGACCTAAAAGACTCTTAGACTAGCTAGTAATATTGTGATTGATGACAATTGACGACTTGATGTGCAATGGTTTCACATTGATTTACTTTTGATTTTTTGCAGACCTATGCTGAAATGGATCCAACAACAGCAGCATTAGAAAAAGAACATGAAGCGGTAACTTAAAATCTTAATATGCTCCTGAAGTAAATAGGGATTGTTACAACATGAGAAACAGTTATTAATTAATGTATCAAGTATTTAGTAAATTTAGAAGGATGATGTTTTCGAATATTCTGTTGTCACACTGGTGTCAGTATGTTGTTCATTAGCCAGCAATGTCTCACAAGAAGATCATCTAGATTTCTAAAATAAAATCAACTAAATGTTGTGCGAACTTGGCTTGTGGAGCTAGAAAATTTACAGTCAGTAGTTTTGTAAAGGACAGTGTTGAGTCAAAGTCATAGGCTCCTCTCCTGTTGAGAGAAGTAAGAAGCAATTACATTTTTTGTTTCATTAAAACTTAATCTACATAAAACATTTTCTTTCCTTAATATGAAAATTATGTTTGAAACAGTAAACATGGGAGGCACGGTGGCCTCGTGGTTAGTGCGCTCATCTTCAGATAGAGTGTTCTGGGTTTGAACCCTGGCAGGGATATTGTGTTGTGTTCTTGGGAAAGACACTTTACTCTCACAGTGCCTCTCTCCACCCAGGTGTATAAATGGGTACCGGCGAACTTAATGCTGGGGGTAACCTCACAATGGACTAGCATCCCATCCAGGGGGGAGTAGAAATACATCCTTGTCACTTCATGCTGCAGAAACCAGGATAAGCTCCAGCTGGTGGGCCACTTGGCTCATATGCAGACTTAACCTTTTTTTTTACCTTTATAATGCTATATTTGTTTGTTTTATTTCTTGTCAATTTTAGATTACCAAGATAAAGTTTGTGGATAAAATTCAGTTTGGTAAATATGAGATAGATGCGTGGTACTTTTCACCTTTTCCTGAGGAGTATGGCAAACAGTGCAAACTGTGGATATGTGAATACTGCATCAAGTATATGAAGTTTGAGAAAACTTACAAAGAACACTTGGTAAGGTTTTGAAAATACCCCTGCTATTAGACCCTGAAAGGAGGGGAGGTATTCTCATATGCATGGGTATCAGCTACATGGGTATGTGCTGCTGTGAAGGGTATGGTTTTCAGGCAGTTTAGTGTGGGATAGGGTATCGAAATCAGACAGTTTTAGGATAGAATCCGATATAATTTTCCAGGAAACAGATAGTGTAAAAATAATTTAGTCTAGAGCAGGTTCTTTACCCGGGGTTCTAAAATAGAAATTGAAACTTGGAAGTGACTTTGTAGGATATTGGTTTAGTTAGCGTATGTTGAAATATGACAGTGATAAAGTTTCTGCATGGAAGATAGCTAGTGCCTAGTCTAGAATAAGGTCGCTGAATCAAGTTGATCATGGTCTTGTATAGTAAGGGTTTTAGAGTCTCAGTGGTACAGCCCCACCCAAAGATTTACAGAGTACCGGTACCCCCAGGTATTTGACTAAATACAACTTAAAATTAGACGTTTATTTAGATAACTGGTTAAATGTGTGGGACTTGTGGCTGTCTTGTAATGACACCACTGCATGAACATCATGTGCAATGTACAATCTTCTCTCCATTGGATTTCTTGACTATGTCTTTTTCTGCACCATGTTTGTTTTGGACTGCCCAGTTTTGTTCTTTAAAATTTAATCCAGCAATGGTAATTTTGTATTTCAGTCGATCTGTTAGGGTGATTAGAGACTCCCCTACAGGTTTGGCCCCTGATTATGGCAAGGCTAGAACTTTCTCTGACCTGTTTCCTCATTCAGCTGCTGGTACAGTGTCGTTTTGTCTCCCCTTCCATAGCTATGGATGGTTTTACAGGGTGGGGTCATTGGCCCCATTCAAAACCCTCTTTTTTTCTCAGTGTTGGGACTGGCAAAATATCTTCATACATGACATTAGGCATGAAGTTTACTAATTATTTTGGATATTTATTTTTGCCTTCCACAACTCTGGGTCCTCATGTTAATTAGATCCAAACTCCTTTTGCAGGGAAAGTGCACAATGCGGCAGCCCCCTGGAAAGGAAATCTATCGCAAAGGGACAATATCTGTTTATGAAGTGGATGGAAAGGAACACAAGGTACCTTAGAAAACAATGAATATTTATTGGCCATTTTCACAGTAGAGACAGATGATTGTCAAGATGGATAACTCATCAGGTGAATTATCCGTCTTGATGTGAATTTAAGACAAATAAAGTCTTTGAAGTTCTCTTCTCTCTGATTCACATTGGGCAGGGAGACCACGGATTTGTGCTTAGAAACAGAACTGAGCAGAACACTACATTGGAATAATTTTTTTCTGGCTACAGCCCTGGTCTTGGACAGATTATCTGTCTCTAGTGTGGAAACAGCCATTGCATTGATCTGCCATTAATTCTATTATCAACACAGATTTTCATGGATTCATCACTGTAGCTTATTCTGTGTGTGCATCCTTGTCCTTTAATGTTTTTTCAGTCCATTCGTATTGCCTTACACTCTGTATAAATTTTCCAAATCATCTGTTTCAGTTATATTGCCAGAACATTTGTCTGCTGGCAAAGTTATTCCTGGACCACAAGACTTTGTACTTTGACGTGGAACCATTCCTGTTTTACTTGCTAACGGAAGTGGATAGGGAAGGGGCACACCTTGTCGGATATTTCTCAAAGGTAAAGCACCCCTCCCCTGCATCACACCTTGTTAGAAAGTACCCCTCTGGTCATTCTGGAGCAGGCCTATCAGTCAAGCAAAAGAAGATCTTTGTTTTCGACATTAGACCCTTTTCATAAAAGGACACCAATTTGAAATTCTTTGGTATTTAAATTAGCGTCACTGTCCTCGTTTGAGAGTAAAAATTCTTTTGAAATATCATTTTAGAAATGAGGATTTTTACCATTAGTAGGCTTATTGTAATACTTATGGAATAATTTTTAATTGGGAGCCATTTTTGAAAAGGATCTATTCAACCAGATTGTGCTAGAAATTGCTGTTAGAGTGTTGCATTCTTGTTAGAGTTTCTTTTTTTGCAAAGCTGTTGGGTGACATTTTGAAACTCAAAATCAAACCAGGATTAAAACTGACCTTGCTAACTACCAAGAGACACTCTGGAGTTTAGTTGAAACCAGAGGAAGTGGCCCAATATTCCAGGCTATAATTCTTCCCAGATGTAGTTTTTCTTGGATTAGCAAGCAACACTGAGTTATGTGGTTTACTTTGGCCCAATTAACATAGCACTACTACGTACATTAACAGTGGTACAGTTGTAAGGGTCATGCTGGATTTTTGTTATCTTGGATTTTTTTTTTTAGGAGAAAGAGTCACCCGATGGAAACAATGTCGCATGTATTCTAACATTGCCACCATACCAGAGGAAAGGATTTGGAAAATTCTTGATAGCTTTCAGTAAGTGCACTTCATGCATACATGTACCTCTGAGATTTCTTGTTTTGGGAAAGGCAACGAAACGGAACTGAAAGAAACGGAACGAAACGAAACGGAACGGAACAAAACGAAACGAAACGAGGAAGACCGAGGGCCGATATTCTCCTAGTAAGGTCCGTAGCTATCGTGGTCATTAATAACAGATTTATTGCACGACTGGTAATGTCAAGAAAAAATGGACTGGAAAAACATCTCAAACTTCAAACGCGCAGTTCTGATTGGGAGCCGACTAGGTCAAATGGTTGTCACTTTTTGTTCTGCAATGTTTCTTCGCTGTTTTTGCCAGGTTATGAGCTGTCGAAAATCGAGCAGACGGTTGGATCGCCAGAAAAACCTCTATCTGATCTCGGCAAGTTAAGTTACAGAAGCTACTGGTCCTGGATTCTGTTAGATATACTACGTAACTTCAGAGGAACTCTTTCAATTAAAGATCTCAGGTGAGGGTGGAGATTGGTTCTGCTTTGTGGAACGATTGAAGTGACACATGCAACAGATTGGACAGAGAATAGAGCATTTCCAAGTTACCTTGTGCCCCTCTTTCACAACGAGTCTTCGTGTAAAACATTTCATACGAAAATGAGTTTGATTTGCATGAAAATGAACCTGTTGGCGGAACACATTTTCATATGAATGTTTTCGCACGCAGACTCTTTTTGACTCAGAGGCAAAAGGCAACTCAGAAGTGGCCTATCAAACAACCTCTTATAAGTAGTAACTTTTCCTTGCACGACGCACTCGCCAGACATGGTGCACTTGTAAACATTGTCAAATTTTGCACTGCCTTTAAGATAGTGATGATTTTTTTTCCCGTCTTTTTTTACCAGCAACATGACGAGCATAACACAAGAGGACATCATCAACACGCTGCAGTCTTTAAACATGGTCAAATACTGGAAGGGCCAACACGTCATATGCGTCACACCGAAACTTGTCGAGGAGCATGTCAAGAGTGCGCACTACCGCAAGCCAGTACTGTCAGTGGACACGTCTCTTCTAAGATGGGCGCCGCCGGGAAAGAAAATAAAAAAAGTGAAGCACTGATGCTTGTACCAACAAGATATGGCTAGGATTGCAACGGTGTTCGTGTAGCAGATGGTTTCGATCAGCAAGCGAATTGCAGTTAAAACTCAACTGAGGACATTTAACTTCATAGATGCGGAGACGAGAATTGCTGAGTCGTTTAGGTGTGGGTGATGATTATGGAATCGCGTTTTACTTGGTTGGTTTGAAGTTTTAGGTACTCAATTGCAGTTTGATTTGCACCAGATCTGGCTCGCTGCCGAGTCTTCAGCCAGACTAGTTTGAAACGACAGTATGGGGCCTTGCTCACGTCGATTTTGTACCAAATTGCATATAAACGGGTGGAAAGGCAAAAAGGATTGTATTTCATTCTTTTCAAGTAGTGGCAAAAACGACTATTGTTGAAGATACAACTTCACATAGGGTTCAATTATTGCAGCGTTGGAAAAAAAAAACCTTACACGTCCAGCAAAAATCAAAGTAATAACTAACCAGTCACAGCGCCCCTAAAAACCGCAGGGAACCAATCAGAGCTCGCAGTAAACCTTGCACTCGGTGCCAAGCGCGGGAAACTGTTGAAATCCTGTTTACAGTTAGCTTTAGTTTTGCACATGATTGGCTGAAAAGAAAAACATGTTCGTTCTGATAGGATAAGCCAGGTTACACGAGCATTGAGTTGTGAACCAGTAGCAAAGCTCGGCAAGCGGAATAAAAAGCCAAAGCAAGAGATTACATTTGATCGTAAACCAAAAAACTCTACTGTAGTGCACAAAAAAATTAGCGTCCGTTGGTAACGTTTCACATCACTCGAACTGCCGATCATTTTACAACTTAGTTATTTAGGAGTCGAATACGTACGAAGGGCAATTCATAGAGAGATTGTTAACACCGCCATACAGAGGTTAGTTTTAAGATTCATGCAGATTTTCTTGTTTTATTTTACTTCAGTGTGTTAAGAGAACAGGTGATCTGGAGAGGCTATCTCAAGTAACACGCACACTATTTTCATACGTGTTTAAACTACTAATAAAATCTCACACTTAACTGTTACGCTGTGTTTGGGTGACTCGCACTTGAAAATGTTGCTAGTTGTTTCATGCAACAGCAAAAATTCCAGGACGGGAGCAAAGAGTTTAGAAAGTCAACAACAGACGATCCAAAAACGAAATTTTCTGAAACGGGAACGGTTATTCGACTGTCCGCAAAGAATTTCGCAATTTTGAGTATATCTCGCCGGACTGACCTTTTTTTTTTGAAAAACATCTTTGTAATCCGGTACAGCACACAAGAAAATACACTTTCAAAGGCCACCAGAAATTTACAAAAATTTGGTCCAATGGAAAGCGTCACATCGCCCACAACTGGCATTGAGGACCGTTTGAATTTTGATGGAGGCGTGGGTGATTTGGTACAGCAACAAATGTTATTTTTGTAGTTCTTTCATGCTCTAGGAATTTTTTTTCTCGGGAGGTGTGTGTGCATGATATGTTTTCTTCGTGAACATGCTTTTACGGCGTGAATTTTTTTGATACAAGTATGCTTGTAGAATATTATTTTTCATAATCACTCCCTCCCCACCCCTTCAAAAGTCAAACGGTCCACCCCTTAGTCCCCAGAACCCGTGTCCTGAGTGAACAGATGTTACGTTTCAAACACTCGATCCATTCCCCCAAAAGAGGTACACCGCCGAGAGAGGCATCAGCAATACAAATTTAAAAGTTAATTCAGGACATTCACTGAAAGTTGCTAAGTGGAAAAAAATTGATGAAATAAGAAGGTTTGCTATAGTTTGTTCAAGTAAAAGTCAAGTGCTTCTAAGAAATATGGTGTACATTCTACAAAAAAAAAACAAAAACAAAAAAAACAAAAATGAAGAATGAGTTAGGCAGATCAACTTCTGGGTGTGTGACGGCTAACGCATAGCGCTCATGTAGAGCTGCTTAGAGCTATACAAATATTTCTAGCTCTCCAAGCCTTATTTGCTTCCATATGCGATGTCATCTGTTCTTTGCTCTAAAATGTATATTTTTTTTTAAACCCCACTACTCGTGTGATTGTTGACTGCTTCAAAAGTGTCCACTCTCCTGCATGTCTTAGCTAGAGAAGTGGCCGTCTAGTCTTGAGGGGAATTAAATAACGCTACGAAAAACCTGAAATGACGGATGAATGACTAGCCTGCCAATACAGCCGCCTCGCTTCGCCCACCGCCCAGGGTCGTTGCGCGAGAGAGAATTCGTCTCTAATGAATGGTGGGCAGGTTTTCGTTTTAGAAACTGTCAGAGGAAAGGTAGAAAAATAACAANGTATCTTAAATTAGTCAAGAATATACAAAGTTCAGAGAATTTTTAGCTTGTTTGTTTGAAATTGTGACACAACTTTTTCGTTGGTTTAAGTGCCTCCTCTTAAGTTAAATTTTTAGAGCATTCCAACAGAT